CCCCCCCCCTCTCCCCCTTTTTATTCGAACTCCGGGAGTTCCTCGTGCATGTCTGTAAATAACTTTGGGAAACCGATTTGAAAATGTATTTAAATGCGAAGACTCCCCGCTGCCTCACGTTCGCGGGTGTAAAGTTCCTCGTCGTTGGCTTTTCGGGAAACTCCGCGAGGTATCCTTCGGTATCATCGGCGGGTCACGCTCAACGCTGAACGTTACGCGCGTTAATAGCGTGACGTTCTTGAATTGCATTCGATAGCGGCGGCGGAGTTAAAAATAGCAACGTTTGTATCGCAACCATTATTATTTTTTATCGCAAGGAGTGCCGCATAATACAGCGCGGCTTCCTTACTGAAGCTCGCATGACCTCAGTTACTCAGCATTATTTAGCGATAAGCGCGAAGCGAATATACTCCGTATCGTGTCTGTCCTAAACTGTTGCAAGTTTTCAGAATAGTGCTCAAGGCTATTGAAAGAGGAAAAAATTATGGAAACAGTTGCGTACAGTACTATTATTTGCGGCCGGAAAAATATAGACCTCGATGATTTTCTTTTACAAACGTTATGAACGTAATGCGAAGCGTGACGTCTCAGCACAAAGTCAAATGAGGAAAATCTATCCACTTAGTTTTTCACGTATGGTAATGCGGCAAATAATAGCTTTATACAAGGTGTCTGACACAAGCCGTGCCAGCCGTCATATACCTTTAGCGAATGCCGGTGTTAAGAAAAAGTTAGTGAGCGGTAGCAGTGCTGGGGTGTGCGCAAATAAATACGGAGTCTTTATAACTGTTCACACGAGACGCTGTATTTACAAGAAATTTATAAAGCTCGCAACGCGACACAAAAAAGAAACGGGATTCTATAAACTAGAAACGCAACGTTAAACAAAATGGGGAAGGCTGAATAAAGAAAACGGGCCGCTAGGAGATNTTAGGGAAAGCCGCTATTAAGAAAAAGTTAGTGAGCGGAAGCAGTGCTGGTGTGTGCGCAAATAAATGCGGAATCTTTATAACTGTTCACACGAAACGCTGTATTTACAAGAAATTATAAAACTTACAACGCGTCACAAAAAAGGAACGGGATTCTATAAACTAAAAACGCAACTTTAAATAAAATTGGGAATGCTTAATACAGAAAGCGTTGCGCTAGGATATCTGCTCGCTAGGTCGCTGCGGCGGTTCACTCTCACTCGCGGGGGGGGGCACGGAAAGGAAATCGCGCACAAGGGGCGCGACGGCGTCGACCGCGAGGAAGGCCGTCGGAAAAGGCTCTTGTACGACGAAAGACACTCGCACTGCCGGGCGCGATGCACCAACGCGCGTTTGCGAGAGACGGGGCGCACTCAAACAGAGTCTCTAGACCGGAGCGTCGGATGCAAATTACGAAGAGAATCGGCGGCGAGGAACACTCGCGAGCGCGTCCGCGACGTTTGAGGTATCAAACAAGAGTGAACGCTCCGGGCTCCTCAGGGACGCTGAAGAACAAATTACTCACGAAACAAACACGAAAAACAAATTACGCGTGCGAACAGCCGTTGTTTTTATCGCCGGTTGTTTCGACCGTCCCATACTTATAGATTAAGCCATTCTGAATAAAAAAGTCCTTTACCATTTTGCAAATAACCACGAAAACTTTCGAGTTATTAATTAAAAACACTTCTATACATAGTTGCTTTCAATAATTAATAACTCCAAATTTCGCGTGGTTGTTTGCAAAATAGCAAAGACTTTTTTGCTCATATTGACCTAAGTAACTCTGGTCTTCCCTATATGTTGGTGCGGCTTTTGTCAGACAACCCGGTATGTCGCAGTTGCGTCGCATATTGAATTAATTGCCGCTGTTCGCCTTCGTCAATGAATCGTATTACAGTTTATTATGGTAAAAATAATGCGCGTCATAAATGGATAACATTGAAGTCCCGTCACGTCCGCTAAATAACTTGCATACGCGCGTACACACTCACGCATAATGCTGCGCGAAATTATCGTGGATACATATCATGTATTTTATACAGTGTCAGCGGCGTGTTTATTGCCGGTTTCTTTCTCATGACGTATGCGGCTCAAAGTCTGCGCTCGCGCGCGCGCACGCGCAAGGTGTCTGCCGAGCAGCATGAAAGTGCCGCCACTGCCGTATTTTGCATCCGTATAATCGATCAGCGGAGCGTTACGAGTCTCCAGTTGCGCGTTGCAATATTTACAAGATATCACGCTGGAGCGTCCGCCGACGCCCCGCAGCTGAAACTTTGCGGTTATACAGAATGTAATATACACGAATATTCACCGTGCATCACTCGTATCCCCGTTGCCCTTTGAAGACGTGTGATATTTGACCTTAAAGCTTTAAAGAGAGAGGAGATCTTCATTTTATGTAACTCTTAACACATGGGACTCGGAGAAATTAAAACCTTCTGGAAGGGTGTCGCGCGGTTACGTAAAAACGACACCTTCGCGGAAGCATCAGAAGAGTTCTTTTTCTCGTCACGGCAAGTTCCGGGAAAATTTAACGCGATTTCCCCTCATTGAAAAAAGTGATATCGTTCCAGTAATATGTACTTGATCCGAGTATGAGAATGGTTACTCCAATATTTTTTGACAAGTATTTACCAGAAGTGGAAATTGACTATATATATATATACAATATATATTTTTTCGTATAAGTAGACGTTGTATATGTAAAAACAATTGCGACAAATATTAAATTCATAATATTGAAAATATTCGAATTTATATTTAGAAAATATCTATTAGTCAGGGAAATTTTAATTAAAAACTAGGTTTCTTCAATAGAACAAATATTACATAATTCCAGTAAATATTCTCTTAAATTCAGAACCATTTTACATTTACGTCCAGTAATTTATTTATAAATTAAGGTATTACCGTATTCAAGTAAATATTTACTACAAGCTGTTAAAATATGTTTAAATTAATAAAAATATTATTTGATTTAAGGGGCTGAAGAACAGGTAATTACGTTTGTTGGATCACAGTGTTCATTCTTTGGGCTCGTGTTTGAATTATCGTCAATCTCTCATTCCAAACGAAACTTTCTTCTTCTTACCTCCCGTAATTGAAGTCGTTGACTAGCTCGTTAAAGGTATTTAGCTAATATGATAAGCGGACAGTTAAAAATTTGACCGTAGACAGTGAACCGTGGAAGCATGGACATGTTATTGAGGAACAGCGCTCCTTTGAGGCCGCTCGTTCGGCACGTTTGTTTGTAATTTTCCGACCTCGATTATGAATATGCATTATAATAGGAGCAGATCGTCTCGACAATCGGCGATGTTAAAATGGCCGGTGGTGCTTTTTGTCGTTAATTGATATACAGCCGTTATCCAGTAATGGATTCAGTCCTCATTAACGCGTACGCGAAACAGAGGGAAAGAGAGAGAGAGAGAGAGAGACTCGCGGGTAGATCTTTGGCCGATTCGCCGATTCATTGCTGGCGTCCTTTTGTTACATTCATCGTGGCAACGTCCTACTTCGGCCATCATGTTACATACTATCTTCTATTTTCCGC